CCAGAGGTGCGGGGGGTGAAAGGATTCACCAGAGACGGAGTGGGGAACAAAACAGGCAGACTGACTGAAATACACTGCTGAGGAGAACAGCGGGAGAGACAGAAGAGGTCTGCTGCGCAATGTGGGTAGCTCCCTGGCTGGCCTGGGATCGAACTTGTGCTGCAGTGGCTGCAGATAACTTCCCATGGGGCTATGCTTAACCCCTTGCTCCACCAGAGAAGCCCTTTCATATTTTCTTTTATACTTGTCCCCTTTTAGTTTAGTGTCTAGTTATACCTAGGCAATGTGATCCAGTTTCCCTGACCCCAACTCTGCTCTACAAACATCTTTCACTAGATTTCACTGGCTTTGTCCCATTCTCTGTTTCTGTCTTTTTGACTTAGACCTAGTGTGATCCTGAAACCTAATTCTATTACTTTGTGTCAAAATTCTTTCTCTTCTCAAAAAAAAAAAAAATTAAATTAAAAAAAAAACAAAAAAACACAAACAACAGTACTTCTTTGGGAGTGTGTACTTAACAGTTAGAATCTTGCTTTAACTTAGGCATATCACAATATTAAACTTTGGATCTCTCACACAAACCTGGGTGGAGAGGAAAGGAGTTGTGGTCTGTGTCTTCTCTGCATTTATAATATATTTCTTTCATAACATGGAAACTGATGTTATTGATTCTGAGGTGAATACTGGGACTCTAAGAAATAATGAAATTTCATTATCACATAACCATTCACTCATTTATTATTTTTCTAGAAAATGGACGTTTCATATATTAGGTATTACTAAGCATTGGCTTTGATTAAAAACAAAAATATATGCTTGTTCTCTGTATTTGAGGAGTTCTCAGCATGTTAAAGGAGACAAGTATTTAAATAAACTAGAACAAAATATGGAAAAAAAAATAACGGTACTGTTATTCACTGTGGCCTGAATTTTAACTCTTAGAATTTTCAGTCTAACAATAATGATGGAGTTTTGTTGTCCAGAAAGGAAAAAAAAAAAAAAAAACATGATAGGCATTTACTATGTAAGAATCTCTGTACATATTTTCACTGAAACCTTCCCTGAAATGCATGCTATATCCAATTTGAAGGTGAGAAAATGTATCCAATATCTCATTCATTCATCATTCAGCAAGTAATCAGTCAGCTTTAAAGGCTATGTTCCGCTTAGAATAGTGGTGGTGAAACACACCAAAGTCAAATATTCACCAAAGCAAATAAAATGTTTAAGTGCTTAGGAGTAATTTTACAAGATGCTGTCAGCATGTGCAATAGTGGAATTTAGTCTTGTCATTTGTTCAAGAACCATTTTAGAGCTTTGGCTCATTGCTGAACATCGTTCTAGCTGCTGAAAATACGATGGCAAGCAAGTCAGATACAGTTCTTGTTCTCATGGAAATTACAAACTAGCAGATGCTCTAAAAGGATAGGAAGCAGGTTAGAGGTTATGGAACTAGGGGAGCCAAAATTCACAATAGCTCATATCATGCCAAAAATCATCATCTGATGTAGCAGGCAGGCTTCTCCAGTTTCATCAATATATAGTTTAGTGAGCATCTGTCTCTTGTTTGTTTGCTTATCCACCCAACAAATGAACATCCTTCCTACATTGCAGCTGTATGTACACTATATGAATCTTAATGGTAGGCAGAGTCTGCTTCTCACTATGAACTCTGAACATCTAGATACTTTACTTGTCACCCAGCAGAAACAGTCAAATATGGGGATCACCAATCCAATATGCCTACTCTGCAATTTAAAATATACATACACATTGGGGTAAAAGTGGTTTACATATTTTTTTTTTGTATTTTGAAAGTATATTGTTATCATAGTACTCCCACCATCAAAGCACCCATAGTCCATACCAGAGGGGAAGTCCATTGTGCTCCCTCCACACTTTTTTCTCACCCCTCTCTCCCCACCTTCCCCTCTGGATGATTCAATTATACAATATAAACAAGACAGGTCTTTTCCGACAAGCATATGAAGCTTTTCAAAATTTTTAATCTTGTCTTTATATGGCCCTTCATTTAGTTACTCTATATTTCACATATTAGTGACACAATCTAGTTTTTGTCTTTTTCCCTCTGGATTATATCACTTAGTATAACCCCCTTTAGCTCCATTTATGTTGCCCCAAATGGCATGAGCTTATCTTTTTTGATAGCTGCTTCGTAACCCTTTGTTTATATTATCACATCTTCGTGCATTTTAATTAGGTTTAAGCATCTCTAGGAAGGAGAAAAACATATATCAGAGAGGTGACAGAGACAGCATGGAGGCATGCAGCGTTAATGAGGGGGAGGTCATTGCTATAGATACAAGGTATGGCTCCCATTGTTCACATTGATACAGCAATGATCTTGGAATTGATTCAAGGCTCTGGTTTTGGCTCCAAATTTTACCTTTTCTTAGTGTTTTCTGATTCTCCTTCCCCCTTTCAGGTGAAGAATGAAATCATCCAGATTTATTTTCCATTTCTTATGTCTAAGAAACACGGCTGTTTCAGTTTGGATTATTTAATCACAAGATCTGAACTAGCTTGACCAATAACTGGTTTGGGATGAAATTGTTACATAGGTATACAAATATTCTATATAACTTTCTCCTTCTCTGTGAGGAATGGCAAATTAACAAGGATAAGAATATTAATCTGGGGACTTCCTGGTAGCACAGGGGTTAAATTCTCAGTGCTGTCAAGCTATCATCAGCCACTGAGGCATGAGTTTGACCCCCTACCAGGGAGCTGACCCACATGGCACAGCAGATCTCTCCTATCTCTCCCATTGCTCCATCAGCAGTGTATTTCAGTAGATCCTCCTGTTCTGCTCCCCACTCTGTCTCTGGTAAACCTTCTCATCCCCTCTCACCTTTGGCCTACACCCCAGTTCTTATATACAGAAATAAATAAATCTTTTAAAATAAATAATCTTTAAAAAAGAATATTAATCATGCCCTCAGGCCCATTGACTAGTGTGATAGCAAGGATAATTCATTTAGAATAATTTGGTTTATTGAAACCAATAGGTTGATTGAACCAAAATGAACATTTACAAGTATCCAGATTCTAATTACTAGCACCTTAAAAACAATTGAAGTCATCAATAAGACAGATACTTTACACTCCTTTTAGTCTGCAACATGTAATTGTAAACTGTTTATTCTCATTTTTAAGGCATTTTTGGATTTTTATGTATACAAATGTGAAGTGAAAAATCCATTTAGATTTTTAACAGCATGATCAACAAATAGCCAAGTGCTTGTGATGTCTCATTTTTTAATAAAGTACTCAGACTTCACATGCACCCAATCTAAAAAACTGTCAGGAAATTTGCTGATCCTGAAAAGTAGGATTTCAAACTGGAAAATTTCCTATCTACCACTCCAGTTGTCTTCAGTGACTGAATTGCTTATCAATGCATGTTTTCCTTATAATTAATTAATACTTTCTGATAGCCTGATTTTTCAGGATTTATTTCTAAAATTAATTTACACAAACCTTTTTCTGTGATTGAAGTCTGTACAAGTTTTATGTTGCTACAAGTTTGTTAAAGTGTTGCCTATCTCACTGAATAGATATTTTTTTGCTCCGTTAAAGAAATAATTTACCATTCTGTTGATACAGCATATTTATTATAGGAATACATTAACACTTATGAAAAAGATAATTATTCAGCAGTCAACATTTTTCATTATGTCAACCTTTCAAGTCTTTCAGGGATATTAGAGAGTGTTGCTACAGGTCATTTGGCTAAATCAATGAGTAGCAAAATGTAAATTTTAATCACTCAGTGGTTCAAATCTATATTCAATAAGCAATTTTTTAAAAGTTAATGAAATGTTTGAAGTCTTTATTTTTTTTGAACTGATGTTTTTAATGGAGTATTCAAATTTCACTGAGAAGCAAAAACATTATGTCAATTTTAAATAAAATTAAAATGCAACATAAATAAATCAAAAGATGCATCAGGACACTAAACCCTAGGATATAATTGAATACCCATATAAAAGCAGAAGCAGACTTCAACAGGCTGATTTACTAATAGATTGGCAGTATCAATTCATTTATTTGTCTTGTTTATTTTGATACTGTCATCATTGTATTTCTAGGACTTAAATATGTTTATTTTTTATTGGTTTATTTGGAAATATTTTTCAGATTGATTTAGTTTAATTTTAACTATATAGTTTATGTTTTCATTCTAGCTTAACATACCAAAGATATTATATTTTATTGATCCTTAATCCTAGGCTATTTTCTGTCATGGTTATCATTTATGAGTTAAAAGCTGTTTGCAGTAAATTTGTTTTAACATTAAATGGAAGATTTAGTGAAATCTTTCTAATACAGATTTGGGGTTGGGAACTAAAGAATTGTAAGTAACTTGGTCTAGGTGAACAATTGGTTTTCCCTAGTCAGATTCTTGTTCTTTCTTATAAGACCTGTTAGTGAATGAAAGACCTTTTGTTTTCGTGTCTTTAGAAGAGGTTTAGTTTTATTCTCCTCCAGAATGTGTGGTACTAGTGATAACCTGTAATTTTTTTTTTCTCTTACATTGTTTTTCATTTTGTACAGTAATTGGTTTCTCCCCTCAGTTATAGTCACCATAGTTCACCCGCATCACCCGTGAACCTTCACCATAGCCCCTTGTACTCTTCTGCCCCACCTCTGTTTCAACCCCTCCCCTGTCCCCTTCCTTTCTGTTTGGCTCAGATCTATGGTCAGCTTGCTATTTGTGTCTTTTTTTTTACCTTTTGTTTGACCTTTCTATATTCCTCATATAAGTGAAACCACACAATATTTATCTTTTTCTTTTGGCTTATTTCAGTCTGTAATCTTACTATTTTTTGTCTTGCTTTCCTGTTTTATCACAGACACTAACACTCCTATAATTTATATTTGCCTGTGTCATTATAGATTGCATTACACATGTATTTTATCACTTTGTACTTCCTATACAGTCCTACAAAGTGTCATTATTAATGTTCATTTTATAGATAAGGACACTAAAGGCAAAGAATTAAACATCACAGGACAATTCCTTGCATGGATCTACATTGGAAGAGTTTATTCCACAACCTCAGACTGTAAGTTGCATTACTTTTCTAGTACTCATGAGGCGATAAAGAAAAGAAGAGCCATGCCAAGCTTTCTCAAAGGAGGGGAAAATTTATTGTGCCCCCTGGGAGGAATTCATGGACCCAAGGTAGGGGTTGGTGAAGTCAAGCATGTTGCTGGGGGAGGCAGGCTTTTATAGGGTGTGGAGAGATCAGGAGGGAAACTGGGTTTGTACTGTGGGTGGTGGGGGAGGGAAGGGGAGGGAAGTTTGTAGGGTGCGAAAAGATTTGTAGGGCAGGGAGATGCTTTTTGTCTGAATGTTCTAGGCAGGCTTCTGCATTCCTGGCCCCAAGGGGGCTTCCTGGTGGGCTTTTGCATTCAGGCCTCCTGCATGGACATTTTACTCTATAGCTCACTCTCAGTTATTATATTATTATAAACATTTATTAAGCCAAAATCCTATTTCAGACCCATGATAAAATCCAGGTAACACTAGGTAGTATAGATTTGTGTGATTGTCAAGTATCAAAAATATTACTTTCTCAATATTTGGAATGTGATATGTGTAAGAGTGAAGCATTTTTATTATATTTTAAGCCAAGAATCCAATTTGCTTTTGTTTTATCAGGTTCAGGATCTCTGAGGATCCCCACAGAGGGAGATTTCCTTACAACTTACAACCAAGTCAAATATATGTAACCTCAATATTAATTAATTGGGAGAGGAACACACAAGGCAGTAATATATACATATGACTATTTGGTAGCAAAAGTGGGGAGATAAGGAACCTGTTGACAAAGTTCAGAAGACTGGCAATGCAGAGTAGCTGAGCCCAGTTGGGGAGTTCCTAGTGGCTATCCAAATGTAGGGCAGGGGTGGGAATGCCCCTTCTCAGAGTGAGAGTTCTGGGTGGCCTTCCCAAAACCTGGAGAAGGATTCAGGGCTGGGTGTGGCTCTCCATAAGCATCTCAAATTGCTTTAAATTCAGTCCCTAAATTTATACCACTTTTAGAGGATTATTATCAAAACCACCTGTTAATCTTATCTAGGTAGGACTTCTCAGCACAGCTGGTTTTGATTTTATTTTTTCTTATCTCTTCTATCCTTTCTACGTCCATCCTTTTAATCTCAGAAATCTACTTAGTTTATTAAAATCCACTAGTTTGTAAGTATTTTACTTTGTCAAATCATCCACTATGTAAATGTCCAATATATGAACTTGTTATTCTGACTTGCTTTACTATACATAATTCCCTTGTGCTCCTTCCATTTTTCTGTAAAAGGTGGCATTTTGTATTTCCTTGTGGCTAAATGGTATTCTCTAGTATAGCTAAACCACATCTTGATCCAACCTTCTATTGATGGGCATTTAGGTTGCTTACATATTATAGTTATTGTAAACAGCACTGTAATGAACACTGTAGACCATTTAGTTTTTTTAGTTGATGGTTTATCATTCTTTTGAAACAGTTTTTTTTTTTTTTTAAAGATTTATTTATACAAACACTGGGTACAGTAAGACGCGTGGGAGGGTGAGAGAACTCACCAGAGCCAGAGCGGAGTACAGAACAGGCAGACTGATGAAATACACTGCTGAGGGGAGCAGCGGGTGCGGCAGGAGGGGTCTGCTCACCATGTGGGACTCTTGCAGGCGGCCGGGGATTGAACTGGCACTGCGGAGGCAGCGGGCACTTTAGCAGCCCAGTGCTCAACCGCTGCGCCACCAGGGGAGGCCCGGTTTATCATTCTTTTGATAGATACATAAGAGTGAGATTGCTAGGTTATATGGTATTTTCACTTTTAGTTTTTTTAAGGTAAATACAGATGGTTTCCCATAGGGGTTGCACCAATCTGTATCCTCACCAATAGCACAATACAGCTCTCTACTTCCTTTCCAAACTTGTTATTGGGGATCTTTTAAATATGCCCCATTTTCACAGGTGTGAGATGGTATGTCCTGGTGGTTTATCCTACATCTGTTTCATTAGAAGTGATGATGAACAGTTTTCCATGTATTTACAGCCAGTTTATCTGCCCTTGCCTTTTTGCATGTCTATAAGTACCTTGGTAAAAATATGGTTGTATTTCAAATGATAACTCAGTAGTTTTCTCTCAATTGCCTTCACCACTCTAACAGTCAAGATCATTACAATGTTAATGCATGTAACATTTTGATCAATCAGGATCATCACAATATCAATACATATGGCCACTTCATACAGAGAATTCAATATCTAGATCTCTCAGCCTGAATTAATGGCAAATAGATACTTTAGTATTATTTACTTATAGCCTTTCCCTAAATCACCTTCTTATATACAGAGATGAGTTTCATCTTAAGAGTAAATATGGTCACAGGGAACTTTTACACTTTTCAGTTCAATTTACTCAGATGTGTTTTCCATTGCCCAACTGGTTCTAAGATTATTCAGTTCATCTACATTTTACAAATTTTTAAGAGCTTGGTATGACAAAAAAACATAAAACTGATAACTCAGTTTTATATATATTTCTCATTTTAGGTAAATGTCCTGCTGTCCCTAAGCCGTGAAAATATCCAGTATCTCCTATAAGTTTAATGAAGTCATATTTTAAGGTTAAAAAATAATAATCTTTCAAAGATTAGAAATTGGGATTAAAGGACTCACCGAGTGCACAAAGATTCAGAGCAACAAGTTTGAGGCTCCAACTTAGTTTACTACACAATCAGATCTGCATTTCCTACCCTCTACCATTTCTCGTTGCCCAGCTCTGCCAGTACATAGAACTGCCACTGTGCTCCTGACAGGTAGGGATTTGTGATAGTGGTATGGCAGCAATGGTGTTTTTCAGTTCAGTTCAAGAGAGGATATATTCTCTGGACACTTTCAAAAGGCTTCCTGCAGTTCTTCACCAGGTATTATATAATCAATTAATCAGAATTCTTTGCCAAAAATATCAAATTCTAATTAAGATAATGCACAAAGAAATCCTTTCAAGGAGATACATTCAAAAATATAAGAGAAAATTTGTGCTTCAAAACACTGGATACTGCTTTGTGCCACTGCTGGATTTAACTCTCTCATTGGTTAAATTGGACTATTGGTTAAATCACTGGATTTGGGTACCCTCATTGGACTATTCCAATTGGTTCCATAAAAAGCCACAATCTTCATAGTCATTCCAGTTTTAGACAAGGAGGCAAAACATTATCTTGAAACATAAGTATACAAGCATGGAAAATGCTTACAAGACTGTGTCTACACTCTAAAATAGTTTGGTTGTGAGGGACATGCCTATGTAGTTGATAGCAAGTGAATCCAGCGTTATTTTTCCATGAGGCAGACTATGATAAAGAGAACAATCTGGGGCACTCCTGGTAGCCTAGGGGTTAAGTCGCAGAACTATCACTGCTATGGCCTGAGTTTGATCCCTGGCCAGGGAGCTAACCACATATGGTTCAGCAGACCTTTCCTGTCTCACCCCTTAGCATTGCATTTCAGTAAATCTTCCTGTTCTGCTCCCCATTCTGTCTCTGGTGAATCCTTTCAACCCTCACACCTCTAGCCTACACCCCAGTACTTCTACACATACACAAAAGAGAACAATCCTGCACCCATAAAGGAAGAAGGGTGAATAGATAAGAGAACAAAATGATAAGCTGTGAATGAAACTCAAATTATTATGGGAGACACTAATGAGAACAAATAGATACTGTGTTGCTAAAGAATATTCAGAGACAAATGACATCTCCAAATTAAATTTGGATGTTAAAAAGAAGACTGCTTGTTGAATTGCATGCTATATAAATGTCAATTGTATGTGTGATCATTAGAAAAATATTGTTTAAAACAAGACGTAATTTGGATGTGTGATTGTCTTGAAGACACTAAATGTTGAATGCATGTGACACATTTTATAATTGCCTGAGTACTTCATAATCATAAACAGCATTTGATTTTATTAGTGCTCATTTATTTGAATTATTTATATTTGGAAGTGCATTTCTCCATATTTTAAAGCTATAGTGACAAAGTGCTCTATGAAGTAATGAACATCTGAATTTTTAAAAGTAATTCTAACTTTAAAAATGGTGACATACTGCTCAAAAAATCAGTATATGCAGCATTAGAAAAAATCATGATTAGGTTCAGTTATAGGAAGTACAATTTCTTTTTTGGCTGTTTAAAATGTCATATTTCAATGGCACATCACTGTCCAGTTAGCTCTGTTCATGTTCTTTGCTAGATTTCCATAGTTTTTCATTATTTTACCCCTATCTACTTTTTAAATATTATTTTTCATTTATTTTATGTCATATTCTCTGTTCAAGGTGACATTTTTTCCTCCTCCAAGCGTTCATGCTATTTCCACTTCCTAAAACACTATATCCACTTTGGATCCCCATGCTTGATTTTTCCTGAGTTCCAACTCAAATGTATCCTCTTTCTTTCTTTAAGTATTTTCTACTTCAAAATAAGCATGGGGTCACCCATTTAATCCTAATTACAGATGTCTGCAGGAGGTTGCAGCTAACAAGAGTCTTTTGTAAGCAAGTTCTCCTTATTTCTAGCTCATGCTGTGAAGCAAAATAGGCAATGACTCTAGGTATTGGTGACTACAAAGGCAGGTATTTTATTGATAAACAGCAATTTTATTGGGCTGAAAACAACCTACCTGATAGCTTTTTATTTGTGTTAACTGAGTAATTTTTGAAAGTCACGTAGCACCATAGCACTGAAGTAGAGATTTAAGGAGGCGTATTCGTATTTATATTTACAGTACTTCATTTCAGAAGGAAGCAGTTTGACAATCCACTTGTATTAGCGCTATTTTTTATTTTCTCAGTGATGGTGGCATCATTAGACACTTCCTGTGAATAATCAGTGTTTTTATGGTTACCATGTCAAAGACCTTTTTCAGGTTATAACATTGAAAGCTCATCCTCAGCATGTTGTTCAGCTCTCAAGAGATATCTACTCAAATTGTTTTCTTATTTTGAATTCTAGAGATTATGATTTAAACATAAAAGGTAGTTTTGTAACAGGGT